GAGGAGCTACTTGAATGGAAAAGTCGCGGCTCCGGTCTAGAAAATCGAGATTAACGGCCGTGGGGATCCGTTCCGCTGACCACGTGACACCATCTACCCACAAAATTTGGCACTAACTTTGCCGACAAGCGGCGGTCGCTCGGTCGGTATAGTTCGCTTGCGGACTACAGGCCATGGAGTTCATTGACAATACTGGTGCGAGTATCTGATGCAAAACAGATCTAATGCCTATTTATGTGGCCCTGAATTGCTTTCTGAAACTAAGTAGAAGCAATGGCGCTTCGTGCGCACCAGATATACGAGAACAGAGCTATGAGTAGTTTCTTTGGAATGAGGTATTAACATTTTCTTCACTACAACCTTAACTGTATACGTACTAGTATGACTGGACGACCGAGGGGTCGGAGTTCGAGTTCCAGTAGTGTAAAGAATTTTATCTTCTCCAAGTCGTTCAGACCGGCTCTGAGTTTACCCAGCCTCCTATCCAATGGGTACTGGAGGCTCCTTCCCCGGGGGTAAAGCGGCCGGAAAGTGAAGCTGACCACTCGCTTCCAGCTAGTGCCGAGGTGGATCTATACATTCACTCCCATATACATCTTCATGGCGTAGCGCTTAATTAGTTCAGTACAGCGACAACTTTACCTCACTAGCATGTCTCGATGTCCAGAGCCGTGTTCCTGCAAACTGGGCTCATCGTTTGAATGTAAAGTTCAGAGAAGGGTAGAAAATATCTTACATTGCGCCCCCTAGATCTTTTGAGCCCTACTAACGTAGTCGGTATAGCGACTGGCTGCGAGCTGGACGACAGAGGGGTCGGAGTTTGAATTCCGGTCGAGTAAAGAATTTTATCTTTTCCACCCCATCTATACTGGCTCTGGGCCCATTGAACCTCCTATCCAATGGTTACCGGAGGCTCTTTCCCCTGGGGTAAAGCGACCGGGACGTGAAGCTGACCACTCACCTCCAACTAGTGCCGAGGTTAAGAAAATATGAATCTATACATACATTCCCCATAGGCCTTCATGGCGTAGTGCTTAATTAGTTGAGTACAGGGAAATCTATTTTTATCCATAGATCTTACGAGTAATACAGATCTTATATCTGGAGTAGCAATATGCAAGATACTGCAATGATATAAACTAAGGGTCAGACTTCCATTAGGCGTCGTAATGTGAAAGGTAACAGTGCACAGTATAAGACTTATAAGCTGTGATTTTTAGCTCGTTTTGCTTATTTTGAAAAAGAAAATAAGGAGCCTTATGAAATTATCTTGCTGTTTGCATCTCTATATTCCCCTCAACAAGCCTAAATAATTGAGCCATAACATATGACCGTTGCTAGGCAACGGCTCGGTATAAACGTTCCTGCGGCAAATACAATGCAACAATAGAAGAACTCTTTGGATGATGTGTTTTCTTTTGCTGTCCGTGTCGTAACAAATATTGAATACGTAGTGAAAATAAAGTAGGCGAGTCACAGATGCCCTTACCTGGACGCTGCGTGAGTGCAGGCACACCAGTGCGAATCTACGGCGCAACAAATATGGCGCCTACTCAGAAAGAAGAAGCCCCCTTCCTGTCGCCGAAGAGGTGACCCCACTCCCAACTAGATAAACGGTCTTGGAACGAATAAAAATTAGGTCATGTGTCCTGAAGGGGCTCGAAACCAAGCACAACTGTGCTAACGAAGGCCAGCATCAGATTACTGGACTGGAAAGTAGGCGAGTGATTCTTCCCAGAACTTCCTGTTTAAGACTACAATTGTACTGTGTATGGTCTCTCCTTCATGGCATGTGCACGTATAAGCATGGCACCTTCTCTAGTTCAGGGACATGTACTCTGGTTTGTGAAAGGCAGTAATTACTACATTGAAACACTCATGAAACTTTTTCTAGATTTTAAAAATATATGCACGCAGTGGCAGGCCTTACATTAGAACAAGCTTCAAAGACAGAACTGTACAGAAGTTTGTTTATTCTCTTAGTATTTATTAGTGAATTTTCAACATTTCTTAACGTTTAAGATGCACACTCTATGTTCACGAAAATAAACAATGAACTTCCAAGAAGAAGCTGATTGTAGAAGACATACAGTTTAGTGCAATATTAAGCATTTGAAACCTGTATGCACAAACTAATGCACGATTTCGAGCACGTAGCATCCATTTGTACATCTGTGTGACGACTCTTAGCTTTTCTTTACAATATTCTAAAAGTCTGTTCGAATCAATGTACCTTTATGTTTCTGGAATTTTGTGCGGTGTGTAAGGTTACGTGCTGACCACCTTTGTGGTCTAGTGGTAAGAGTTCCTGGCTATTAATCCAGAGGTCCCGGGTTCGATTCCCGGCGCTACCAGATTTTCTGAGAAGTAGTGGGTCTGAAACGGGGTCCGCTCAGTCTAGTTAGGATAACTGAGGACCTATTTCAAGGAAATAGCGGCTCCGGTCTAGAAAACCGAAATTAACGGCCGTCAGGATCCGTTGCACTGACCACGCGACACCCTCTATCCCTTAAAGTTGGCACTAACTTCGCCGACAAGCGGCGGTCGCTCTGTCGGTATAGTTCGCTTGCATAACAAAACCACGGGGTGTAAGGTTACGTGCTACAGACGGACTGACTAGACTTCGATTCCTCATAGGGACATCTAGAGCCTTTTCGTGCTACGTCCAGATACTGGAGATAAAAGCCATCAACTCATGAAAACTCGCTTCAGTGTAGCGTCGTGGTGAACAATGCGTGGATATTTACTTACATGTTCCCACACGTCTTCCAGGCACGGTCCTTAAAAAAGAAATTAAGTTTTACTACTGCCTTAGTCTTGATGGGAATTTTATGGATGTCTTGTGAGGATCCTCGCAAAGGGTGCTGTCAATATATGCCTGATCACCAGGGCCCAGATTTTGATGACCTGAAAATATTTAAAAAAATGACCTATAGAATGACCGAAAAAATCCAGAAAAATTACCTAAAGGAGAAAAGAAAGAACACTTCGCTTCCATGTTATTCACATTTCAGAAAACATATGAAGAAAAATTCCCTAAAATAGCCAAAAATGACAAGCAATACTCTTAAAAGTCCAAAAATTTACCAAAAAATTACCCCCAAAATGAAAAACTTGCCTTAAACCTAAAAATGTCAAAAAATGACAAAAAATTACCTATAAAATTTACATTTCTGTAACCAGCAGCTCATATCCGAGATTTATACATTTAAGAGCACCGCATAGGATACAAGGAAAAAAAGATGACATTTCATCAAAATCTGGGCCCTGCTGATCACTATTAGAGCCTAAAGGGTTGTCATTTCACTTGAAGCTCTTAAAATATTTTATATTTGTTCCTTGAAGTTGTAGAAAACGTAGAAGTTTCGGATAAAATTTACGGAATTTATGAAGATAATTTGATAAATTGTTTAATGCAATTCATAACGTAATGTTGGAAATGGTGAAGAGCTAGACACAGGAATATGAAAGAAAGATACAGACTGTGAAATCATAATTTTAAAACGACTGTTGAAATTTCAAACAATATTCTAAATTCTAACTTGTTAAAACAACTCAAAACAAAAAACGTTAAAGAACATGATAAGGAAATGTGGGAAAGGGACACAACAGACGAGAGGCAGAACATGCGTATTTCTCGATCATTAAGATCTTGAAGAACTTAAAACTGGATCTTCAGAATAACTCCACACATGCCCATAAAATGGAATACTATTCAGGTATCGGAAACAAATCCTGAACTACATTCCAGCAACAAGATGACGGCTTGGAAGTGCGCTTGCATTGCACCTTAAATGCCTTATGTTGCGATGATAATGCTGATGATTAATGATATCATGTCTTTTTTGTACGCTTTGAACCTTTCGAGAACATTCTATTCAAACCTCTCATAAAGGCTGCAAGAGGGAATTTTTAATTCACTGTAAGATCTGAGGTCCTCATGGCAATGACAATAAGACTCTGAAGATGGACGCAGCATATTCATCCAAAAAGTTGGTATCTATCTACCCAACTACACGGCGACACATTTCAGAAGACAGCCATCTTCATTTTCGTTCCTTAAAGAATGTCTTCTACCATGAAGACAGAGGCAACATGTTCCTGCGAAACGTTGGAACATACCCACTAGACCGCATAGCGATGCATCATTTTTATTCCTTGAAGAGTGTCTTGTGCCATGAAGACAGAGGCAACATGTTCCTTCGAAACGTTGGAACATACTCACTAGACTGCATAGCGACACATCATTTGTATTTGTAGAAGAGTGTCTCCTACCATGAAGACAGAGGTAACATGTTCCTTCGAAACGTTGGAACATACCCACTAGACTGCATGGCGACACATCATTTTTATTCCTTGAAGAGTGTCTTCTACCATGAAGACAGAGGCAACATGTTCCTTCGAAACGTTGGAACATACCCACTAGACTGCATGGCGACACATCGTTTCCATTCCTTGAAGTGTCTCTTCTACCATGAAGACAGAGGCAACATGTTCCTTCGAAACGCTGGAACATGCCAACTACACTACAACGAGACAGAAATCTTCAATCTCATTCTCTGTTTTATGCAACACGCCTATCATCTTCTCGGTGCTGCAACCAGATTCGAGCCGTGGCGTGCTCTGTCACAGCGATTTTCTAAGTATCCTCCAGACAAGCCGAAGAACTTTCCGGATGGAGGCCCAATCCGCCATAAGTCTTCTTGCATCAGAAGATAACACAGAATAACGGAGACAATCTCTTATTTCCTGAGCAAAATTCGAACTTACGATCCAATGTTCGAGCAGCCTAAGGCCTCGAGCTGCCATTGAAGTAGACAGCAAATGCATCCACGCATTAAATCTACATTAACTTACGCTCCGAGGAGCCTAACACACTATCTGCCACGTTCAAAGCATGCATCGACTATTAATTCGGGTGGTTTAGAAGTAGCTTGCATGTATATCGCATGCTTTATATAGTAAAATTAAAATCCTACTGAGAAACTCGTATCTTTCAGGAAAACCCAACACAAGGCGTCGAACTTCCGCCCGACGTCGAAAACAAAAGAGAGGTGAGTAATGCTATCTGAGCTATTAGCATGAGTACAGGACTCGTACAGTTTATAAATAAATCGATATGGTCTCATTCAGTAATTAAATAAACGCTATCAGCTCTCAGAGCTGACGCGATGTTCTTCTGTCTTTGTTGGGTCTCAGGTAAAATTTTGTGGCAGAAGCCCGGCTATTTTCACTGAAGTTACCGTGTTTTTCATCAGTCCCTCCTGACAAATGTTGGGGAGCCAGGATAGCGACTGGCTACGGGCTAGACGACCAAGGGGTCCGACTACCGGTAGGGTCAAAAATTTTCCCTTCTCAATGTCATCCAGACTGACTCTGGGGCCCACCCAGCCTCTTATCTGATAAGCATCGAGGGCTCTTTCCCTGGGGGTAAAGCGGCCGAGACGTGAATCTGACCACTCACCTCCGACCAGCGCCGGGGTGAAGAAAATGTGGATCTTTACATTCACCCCTCCATGCGTCTTCATGGCGTAGTGCTTAATTAGTTAAGTGCAGGGACAACTCTACCTTTACCTGGAAAATGTTAGGACAGTAGTGTCACGGCCGCTCCTTTCCACAGCCTTCCTAATTCAGCACTTACAATCATCACATAAACGGCACATATCCCACTCGGCAGGGAAACCCTTATTACTCGTACGTACACGAGAAAACAACATATCAGGATCACGAAGAATCAAATCTTGTTCATCTGCATCTTCTGAATGGCTATGGAAACGTGTATGATAATAAATGTCTTAAATGCGTAGCACTAACAGGAGGAAAGGTCAATATTCTGGGAGGTCACAGTAACGGTCATTCTAAGCAAAAGTGTATATGTACATGTGTCCCATTCCGAACGGTGTGCGAGATAGAGCTGTTTCACTGTGCAGCTCCAAAACTGTTGATAAGAAAGAGATATGACGTACTGTTTCTAATACCGGTATTTATTGTTCAAGTGACAAAGTTCGTACAGTTTACCCAGTATAATACATTTGCGAAAATTCCACCGTCAACATCAATGCACTCGTGTGAGGACATGGCGTGTTGCTCGTTTGTACAGTGTACAGTGAAATAGCTCTATCTCTGAAAAGGCAAAAGGTAAGGTAAAAGCTATCCCAGTAACAGGTCGTGGAGGCCCATAGGGTTGTGAGACGTCGAGGCTCCAGCATTTTCTAGACAATCCGCTCATAGATGGCGATGAGGCTGTCAACCTTATGCGCCGGCCTCTCTTTACCACCAGGAAGATTCCTGGTACTAAATTCTGTTAGAGGCTGAGTCCACCCTAGGGCCATAGTGCAGCTGGAAGGATTAGGTCAATTGAAAAATCCAGTTACATTGGTAATCGAACCTGCGACCTTCCGGCTAGTAGCATAGTGCCTCAAACAACTACGCTACCGCGTGTCCCTAGCTCTATCTCGGAAACCGTTCGGAATAGGACACATGTGCATATACACATTTTTGCTTAGAATGTCCGATACTATGACCTCCCAGAATAAGGACCTTTCCCCCTGGGACAGTCTGTATAACGAGACTATATACAGTATACAGTGTACACTTGTACTGTGCGCTCAGCTGAAGGAATTGAAATCACGTGCTAATGTCAACGATTTTTATATTACTTGTAAGAAAAGAGAAGGTAGCTAAGATGTTAAAAGGAAGTGACACTCTATAATTTCGGAGGTATTTTACGTTAGATAAACTGAATAGTAGGGCTAAGATGAACTCTTCCCTTGTCCTATATACCAGGCGTAACGTACGCCGTTCAAGCAGATCTTAAATTTTATCATTTAAATATCAATGCATTCTATTTATTTACTAAGGCACTGAATTCCATTTGATGCATTCGTTTATGTGATTCAGAAAATGGGTTAACTTATCACAGCATCTAGACCAATCGTTCCCACACTTCGGGCTATAAGTAAAAAACAGGACGCTGGATAATGTCCAGAAACGCAATTAAAACACCGTGGCTTTTAGCCTGCAAGCGAACTATACCGACCGAGCGACCGCCGCTTGCCGGCGAAGTTAGTGCCAACTTTACCGGATAGAGGGTGTCGCGTGGTCAGCGCAACGAATCCCCACGGATGTTAATTCCGGTTTTTTACACCGGAGCCGCTACTTTTCCATTCATGTAGCTCCTCAATTATCCTCACAAGGATGAGTGGACCCCGTTCCAGACCCACTATTTCTCAGTAAATCTGGTAGCGCCGGAAATCGAACCCGGGACCCCTGGATCTGTAGTCAAGAACTCTGACCACTAGACCATACAGACAGTCCCAAAAACGCAATAACTGTATTAATTTGCCATCGTCACATACCTTTAGAGCTCATATACCATTGGTTTCATTAGATTTCAGTCCGTTTTGTTGTCACTTCAGCAGAATCGAAAATATAAAGTTGTCCATAACCTGGCTTATATGTTTAGTTTGTACTGTAGCTGTGAGACCAAATGGTATACCTAGCCGTGTATCCGGAAACAATATGGACCAATTCCACATGACGATTATTTTTTTTTTGCTAGTGGGGTGGGACTAAGTCTCTTGTACTGCGGCCACTTCTGGCCTATTGTACCAGCCCCAGATGATAGGTGAGGGTGATTGTGGAGCAATTGGTGGAATGAAGATTGGCAGGGGAAACCGAAGTACTTGGAGAAAACCTGCCCCAGCGCCACTTTGTCCGCCACTTGACCAAACCCGGGCTGCCGCGGTGGGAATCACGTGACGGTTTGTTCTCCGCGCCCATTGATGAGAATGTCATTGCTGAGCTGTACTCTCGTATACGTTCTGTGTAGTTATTTGCTCTGTGTGTATCCTCTGAAGGTCTCACAATAGTCGTAAAAGTGGCGCCTCTATGGGCGTTCCCGCAAACTCTTCGCAACCGGTGAGTAGCGGAAACATGCCTAAGCGTCTTACATAGTCTATATACCAGTTTCTACGTACGTGGGTAGGCTGAAAAGTAATGCACACATGCTTGTAGAGCGCGAACAAAAACAAATAGCAAGATCGGGCAAAAAGTACATTGAAGTACAATTCTTAAGTTTCGAAAGCATATATTTACTTTTCAACATAGTCACCGTTAAGGCTAACACATTTCTCCCAACGTGTAACAAGTTTTTTCATTCCGTCACTGAAAAATTCTTCCGACTTTTCTCGAATCCAGGACTTGACAGCTGCCTTCACCTCATCGTCCGAGGTGTAATGATTAAATTACCCTTGAGGTCTCTCTTGAGTAGAGGAAAAAGATAAAAATCGCCAGGCGCAAGATCGGGGGAATAAGGAGGGTGTGGAATCGGTTCAAACTTCAGGTTTCGCAGAGACTCTTCAGTTGCGCGCGAGGTGTGTGGACGAGCGTTGTCATGTTGCAAGATTATTGGCGCCAGGCTGCCTCTAACACGACAAACTTGATGCCGGAGGTGTTTTAGAGTCTGTATGTACTGAGAAGAATTTACCGTTGCCCATCATTCCAGAAAATCGGTCACATAAACTCGGTGAGCATCCAAAAACACAGTCAAAAGAAGTTTTTTTTTTGGCGGATGGTTGTGTTTTGAACTTTTTTGCCGGAGGAGAAGACGGATGTCGATATTCAGCGCTCTGTCTTTTCTCTTCCGGGTCGTAACGATGGACCCATGACTCGTCCTCCGTCACAATATTCAAAAGAAAGTCGTCTCCTTCGTCACGGTAGCGCTGCAAATGTTGCTCGCAGCATTCCAATCGACGCTGTTTGTTCTCATCTGTGAGACGGCGTGGTACCCATCGTGCACAGATTTTACGGTATCCCAATTGTTCAGTAATGAAGCCGAGACGTTCCTTGGATATTCCAATATGGTTTGCGATACGCTTCTGTGTGATTCGCCGGTCATTTTGAATCAAATCGTCGACGAGTTTGCGATGATTATCGTCTGTGGCAGTGATCGGATGTCCGCTGCGTGTTTCATCAACAATTATGGCTTTTCCAGGCTCGCAACCACGAAATTTTATTACCCATCGATTTACAGTAGACCTATCAACAGCATCGTCACTATAACAGCCTTTAAACGACGATGAATCTCAGTAGGAGTCACTTTTTCAGCAGTTAAACATTCGATAACAGCACGCTATTTAACTCGCGTTGACATAGCACTAGAACACGTCTCCATACTTCCTCGAAATACACTGGATGAACGCAACGACCTGCGCATGCGTATTGAGGGGGAATGTTACTTCCACATGCCACCTGGCGCGCTTCTGAAGGTCATTTCGTTCGCGCTCTACAAGCATGTGTGCATTACTTTTCAGCCTACCTACGTATGTATAAGAATGTAGTGTAACGATGTGATAAAAACGCTAAGATCAAGAAATTTTTGGTTACCACAGCACTGAATTGTTCAGCGTTAACAAGTTGCTTGAACACAAGTTGTAGCAGGTCATGGACGAGGGAGAAGTCTTTGTTTCAGTATTTTGTGTCTATTCTATGAGCAATACCGATATCTTAATGTCGGTATGTGAAGTGTAGTACATTATATAACGAAGATGGGTTACGATTGATTATTTGTGCAAATTAATAAATTCCTATCATAAATAGAAGTTGACCGAGCGATTACATAAATAGAATATGCAGAAACTAAATACCGTAGAACGAGTACGTCAAATAATCACGCATGTTACGGAGGAAAGACCTTAAAAGAAACGGACATTTCTTATTTCGAGGCACTATCCCATCATTAGAATGGACAGCCTGAGGAATACCATGAAAAGCTAAGTAGAGTAGCTGGTAACTTCACCGAGGTTCAAATCGGGTACCTTTCAAAAACAAATACTGAACGCTATAGCTATACCATCTTGTTTGGTAAGAATACGCGGATCTTGTCCTTCACTCCCTTATACCTATTCATGGTGTGGGGATAAGGCATAGCGACTTCATTTCTACACGGCAATGCAGGAATCAGCCATATGTTCGTTTCCTTCCATTAAGCCTACCAAATATTTTCGGAGAACTATCCACTGTTCCCATGTCCTCAAAGACACTTAAGAGGGAGGCACAGTGACATCCGCCTCCTCTGGAACTACAGTTACCAGGAGAGTGAAAGAAGAAGCAGAAAGCTTTCCGAGGAGATGCTGAGACCCATAAATAAATAACTGTAAAACTGCATTAACGGGCTACGTATTTCTGACTGCATGCTGGATATACAGTGCGCTGGTAATCCGCAAATGTCAGTAAGTATCAAGTATTTCAATACAATAGAACGCCGATTAATCGAATTGCCAGTTAACTGAACCACCGCAACAAAGAAACGGGTCTGCTAAACAAACAACACCGTTGGAATCTTTCAAATAAAGTGTTCTAAATATTAATTTACAATCATATTTACTAATTTTTCATGTTTCACGTTTTATAAGTTTTCAGTTTTCATTATTACAATACTCGTAGTATAGTATGTTATAAAGTAAAGTAAAGCTATCCCTGTAACAGGACGTGGAAGCCCGTAGGGTTGTGAGATGTTGAGGTTCCCACATTTTCTAGACAAACGGCTCCAAATGGCAGTAAGGTTGTCAGCCTTACGCGCCGGCCGCCCTTTACCCCCAGGAAGATTATTTAATTAATGACTGGTACTCATTTCTGTTGGACGCTGAGTCGACCACAGGGCCATAGTGCGGCTGGAAGGATTAGGTCAACTGAAAAAAATCCAATGACTTCATCGGGACTTGAACCCGTGACCTGCCGGCTTATAGCATAGTGCCTCAACCAACTACGCTACCGCGTGCCCCATAGAATGTTATAATAGTGTTTTTTGTGGACAAGAATTTAATCCAATTATCCTAATCACCTCTGTCGCTAAAAAATTCGGTTAACCAGCAGTCTACTCTAAAAACTCAAACATCTACCCCAAAGTAGCGAAAGCCGATCACGGTAGCCGAGCGGTCTAAAGCATGAACCGTCTTCGCTCGCTCGGAAGCCGGGATCGTGGGTTCGGATTTGTTTCCTGTGAGGTACGAACTGAATTTTTATATATTATTCTTATACACTGCCGGTCACGGTAGCCGAGCGGTCTAAGGCATGAACCGTCTTCGCTTGCTAGGAAGCCGGGATCGTGGGTTCGAATCCCACACAAGGCATGGGTGTTTGGTGTGTGTATGTGTTTGTTCCGTGTTCGTGTTGTCCTGTGTTTAGGTGGATTCCTTGCGACGAGCTGACCACCCGCCCAAGGAGTCCTACCGTCTCTAAAAATGTTCATGAAACTGAGAAATCAGCCCTGTGCTCCAAATTGAGAGCAAGAGGAGAGAGAGATGTAGCGAAACACGCCCTACTCCACGATGGCTATGATCTTCTGGAATTGGGCAATGTCACTTTATCCATAGCCCGCACCAAGGTTATACCACCATGAATCGGTCGGCCACGTCTCGATTGTGAAGATGAATTTTTATTTCTATATTATTAATATTTATTGCTTATTTTACGACGATGTATCTCAGACTCTGTAGCCAAGAACAGAAACATGATCAGAGAATTACGAATTATAAAGGATATGACCAGACACGGCCATGGCCTCATTTGAGATTCTAACCTGGCGTTTGCTTCGAGAGACCGAGAGAAACCCCAAAAACCATAGTCCGGACAGTAGGTGTCGATATTCGAAACGGTCGCTTCCCACGTAGAAGTCAGTAGAACCGAATCAATTTGTTCGGTATGAAGATATGATTGACATTTAAGGGAGAGAGAGAGGAGCCGGGATAGCGATTGGCTAAGGGCTGGATGACCGAGGGGTCGGAGTTCGAGTCCCGGTAGGGTCAAGAAATGGGACCCACGGAGCCTCCTATCCAATGGATACCGGGGGTTCTTTCCGCGGGGATCAAGCGGCTGGGGCGTGAAACTGACCACTCACCTCCAGCTAGTGCCGAGGTCAAGAAAATGTGGATCTATACATCCACTTCCCCATACGTCTTCATGGCATAGTGCTTAATCAGTTAAGCACAAGGACAACTTTACCTTTAAGGATGAGAGGCATGAAATCCTGAAATCGTCTCATACCAACCTCAGTCCTTTGACCTACAACCTTAACCATCGCGGTATCTCGTGTTTCAGTCTGCGGCAGCGATGAGAGGTCAATGTTCAACAACAACCTCGTCAAAATTTTCAAGACCGAATACAATAGAGTGGCAACTGCAGTCGCTACAGGTAAGTTACCCACTCACTCATGGAGCTGAGCCATTCTTGAGAAGCTGCCAATTGTGTAGCCACTCAAGAGCTTCCCAGCATTTTATGGAACCCTAAGGTTCATTACCATGTTCACAAGAACCCTCCACTGGTCTCCATCCTGAGCCAGATCAATGCAATCCATACCATCCCATTCTATCTCTCTAAGGTGTATTTTAATATTATCCTCCTACCTAGGTCTTTGTCTTCCCAGTGGTCTCTTTCCTTCTGGCTTTCCCACGAATATCCTATATGCATTCATCTTCCCCCATTCGTGCTACATGCCTTGCCAATCTCATCCTCCTTGATTTGATCATTCTAATTATGCTTGGAGAAGAGTACAAGTTATGAAGCTCCTCACTGTTAAGTTACCTACTTCACTGTGATTATGAAATCCGAGTTTCTCACGGATCGAAATATACTGCATAAGTTTGCTTCAGTATTTTGCTGTTTATAAAACTTGCTGAACTTAATATTTAATAAATAACAACGAAATAGTGTGTAAGAGAATTCTCAAAGTTCCCAGAGCTGTCACTCAGTAAAATATGGTAACTACTCTCGTGAGAGGCGTAACTCATAATCACTGTGCTGGCGAGTCCAACAGCAGTCTATGATAGTATTTAGTTTTAAGATAACACTAAAGTAAATTAAAAGACTCTCCGGTTGCCAAGGCATCCTAGCACAGCTTCCTAGATCACAAGAACTTTTAGTGCATTAAGAAAATAAAATACACAGAATTATAAGTTTGTCTGTAGTTCTGTACGAGCCTGAAACTTTGTCTCTAACATAAGGGAGGAACATAGACTGAGGGTGTTTGAGAACAGGGTGTTGAGAATATTTGGACAGAAGAGAGAGATGAAGTGACAGGAGGTTGGAGAAAACTGCATAGTGAGGAGCTTCATAACTTGTGCCCTTCTCCAAGTATAATTAGAACGATCAAGTAAAGGAGGATGGGGCGGACAGGGCATGTAGCACGAATGGGGGAGAAGAGGAACGCATATAGGGTTTTGGTGTGAGAGTCAGAAGGACAGAGACGACTATGGAGATCTCTACATAGGTCCGCGGATTACATTAAGATGGGCCTTAGAAAAATAGGACAGGGTGGTATGGTCTGGCTTCATCTGGCTTGAGTATGAGTATGAGGGGTGAGCCATAAAACTGGCCCTCGCACTGCGACCTTCAATGATCTATTGTGCTTTTCATCTGGCTTAGGATAGGGACCAGTGGAAGACTCTTGTGAACACGATAATGAACCTTCGGGTGCATATGATGTTGGGAAATTTTTGAATAGGTGAACGATTGGCGACTTCCCAAGAAGGGCTCAGCTCCGTGGAGGTAGTCAGTTCGTTAGTTTAGAATTGTAACTTTCCTAATATTCCCGGTTGCAACCTTCCCACTCTTTTCGATAAAACAGATGTCGACGGGCATCCAACGTCTCAGGACTTGGATCGGCAGGTTCTGGACTGGAAGTTCTCGGTGATGGACAAAGACAAAGACAACTTCCTGGAGAAGACGGAATACCGGGACCTGCGCCGACTAGTGAAGAAGGTCGTGAAGCCCAAGCGCTGCGCCAAAACATTCACGAAGCTCTGTGATATGGACAGCGACCAACGAATCTCACGGGAAGAATGGGTCTCTTGCTTGGGACTCGACTTTAATCGTGAGTAGCCGTCAACGTGAGACATTTCTTAACTTATTTCTAAATGAACAATCGTACCAGTTCATATTTCATGTGATTAAATTTGTTCTGCTGTGAGAGAAAAACTTGGGTGGGTACAGCAGGCAATAATTGCAGGTTTTGGTGTAAAACAATTGTCCTATCATATGAGGATATAAGTGGAAACTTAATCATCTATGAAAATTTATCGGTCTAAATAATTATTATAATTCTCTTCATTTTAAAATGGCGAGTTTACACACTGTGGCACTTGTTGTGTCATCAGTTTGAGGATCCCTCGACATCAGCCAATAATGAGTAATTTCCAGAAAAGTCCAGATTTGCCGCACCAACTCAAGAGAAGTTAACCACCTGAGAGATATTTCAGATTTTTTATGTATACTAACAATCAAATTTATTTTGATTTTTAAAACATACAATTCAAAATGAACTACAATTTGTCCTGGACGGCAGAATATAAATCTAACAGTATTATCAGTGGCAACCATGGTGTAATTGAACAGCGCTAAACATTTACACAGAATGGCCACACAACGGCCGCCTCTGTGGTCTAGTGGTCAGAGTTCCTAGCTACAGATCCAGAGGTCCCGAGTTCGATTCCCGGCACTATCAGATGTTCTGAGAAGTATTGGGTCTGGAACGGGATCCACTCAGTCTCGTGAGGAAAACTGAGGAGCTACTTAAATGGAAAAGTAGCGGCTCCGGTCTAGAAAACCGAAATTAACGGCCCTCGGGATTCGTTGCGTTGACCACGCGACACCTTCTATCCGCTAAAGCTGGCACTAACTTCGCCGACAAGCGGCGGTCGCTCGGTCGGTATAGTTCGCTTGCGGACTACAGGCCATGGAGTTTGTTTTTATGGCCACACAATACTGTAGCAAAGGTCGACATATTTCCCTCAGCCCCTACAAAAATTCCATTACTTAACATGACGTGACAACTTCCAAAATGTGTACCCAATGCCGCTTAAAAATTACAATCTCGAGCCAGCCGACAAATGAAGTTCATTTTGTCACGATAAAGGTATAGGTAAAAGTGTCCCTGGGCGTAACTAATTGAGCACTGCGCCATGAAGGAGTGTGGGGAAGTGGATGTATAGATCTACATTTTTTTGACCTCGACATTGGATGGAGTTGAGCGACCACCATCACGCCCCGACCGCTTTACCCCCGGTACCCATTGAATAGGAGGCTGGGTAGGCCACAGAACCGGTCTGGACGACGTAGAGAAGAGAAAATTATTGACCCCGCAGGTACTCGAACTCCGACCCCTCGGTCGTCCAGCCCGTAGCTAGTCTCTATACAGACTACGATATCCTGGTTCCTCCATTTTGACACGATATCTATAGAAACACAATCCGACCAACGGGATTAGTTTAAGTGCTAACGCGTTTGACTTCTATTTCGGAAGCACACAGTTCAAGTATCGGCATTATCATCTGTTAATAGAACTGAGGTTCTCCGTGGTTTCAACATTTCTCTCAGACGAATGACAGGCCTTTGGGATATATAATGATTTGACTTTCTTGATCAGCTCAGTGACCAAGGGCGCCGATCCATGGAGGCAGTTATGCAATCTAATACACGTATTTATACTGTTAGTTAGCAGTGTAGTATCCATATCACTGGATTCCCCAGCCAACTATAAGTTTTATCCACGGCAAATGAGTGATCCGTAATAACCGGGGAGACAAAGTTGAAAAAATATGCATTTAGAAACTCATATGAACCGGAAGGTTGTGTGTTCTATTCCTGTTAAGGACTCTTTCCCTGGGGTAAAGCGGCCGGTGCCTGAAGGTGACCACTCACCTCCAGCTAGTGGCGAGGTGAAGAAAATGTGGACCCATGGGCCTTTTTGGAGCAGTGCTTAATTAGTTTAGCACAGGGACAACTTTACCTTTACCTGTCACATTTTATTTCCCACACAGCCCTCACAGCGTCACTATCCTGTACTGCTCAAAGTTCAGAAGTCAAGGGCAGAGTTGAAATGCTCACAGAGTGAGGGCAGTAGATGAAATCATTCCAGGACAAGTGGTCCAATTCTAACAATGTGGAAGCATTATGCAATCCTGCCTACCACCCTCATACAGGAAGGCCCAGATTAGGACAGCTTGCTGAGTGGGCAACTCTTCCTCAGCAGGGTACAGTCAGTCCCAAATACACCTTTCCAGTCATTCTGAAGTGACGGACTTATTCAGAAAGTGCAATCAGTTACTTTAACAAGCACAACTGGGAGATCTGGTCCACTACTGTGACAGAAATACGTAAATTTCAAGTCTTTGGGAAAAAAGTACTAAGGAAAATATCTGACTTAAAGAAGGGTGACTTATAGGGCAAATGACTTTATTTCTGTTCTTTGGTTGTTACATTGTGTGGCTGTGGGTAATGTTTCCAACACATCGGAGCTACACACTGACTCCACCTCCAGCATGTACCTGTGAAACGTCGGCAACATTGCCTGCAACCACACAGTGTAGCAACCCAAGAAGGGAAACAACATCAACAATGAACAACCACAAAGGCCTAAAACAGTAATGAATGGGCAATTTATTTTACACGTAATGAGGTATTTCTTGATATATGCAGATGACCTCGTGCAGTTAGCTTACTGAAATATGAGAATTTATGAATTCCTGGGAATACAACTCAATTAGTGTGACACAAAATGTAGACTACATGAATTATGATAGAGAAAACTTCTTAGAAAACTTCCAATTTAAAGAACCAGAACGAGATGGGAGGTTCTTAATGAGAGGAAATAACTGAAGGAAGAAGAAAATTACACAGTTGGGGGCTTCAGAATTTGTACTCTTCACAAAATAGTATTAGGTATAACAAATCCAGGAAGATGTGATGATTTTGGTATGTAGCATACATGGGAGAAATAGTGCAGAATTTTAATCAGAAAACCTGAAGGGAAAAGACCACTTGTGAGACATACTCCTAAGCATAAACAGGGGAATATTATTAAAATTGTTCTTACAATTATTATGTTTCTGGACATTATCTGTCATCCTGTTTTTTATTTAAATTGTTCTTAAAGAAACAGGATACAAAGGTGCATACTGGATTCATCTAATCAGCTTAGGATACAGCTACTGTTCCTAATCATGCTATTTGGAGACTTGACACACAAATATGTCATTATCTGTATCAGACCACCACATACACTTTATACCTTCTTTGCAAAAAAATTGTTCTATAGACTGCTAACAAGGAACAGAACTGAACCCAGGGTTCAGTAGAGGGATTGAAGCTCTCTTCACCAGAGCATTTACCTTGTGATTCATTACAGCAGTCTCATTCTGTTTCACCACTACAGTGGCATTTCACATTATGAGTTCATTCCACCTATAACACCTTTGCACTGTATTAAGCAATGTTGTCAACTGCTCATATATTTAATCAACAGGTCATTGGATTTTTTTCAGTTGACCTAATCCTTCCGGCCGCACTAGGCCCTGGGGTTTACTCAGCCTCTAACAGAAATGAGTACCAGGAATTAATTAAATAATTTTCCTGGGGAGTAAAGTGCGGCAGGCGCATAAGGCTGACAACCTTACCCCCATCTTTGAGCCGATTGTCTAGATAATGTGGGACCGTCAAGGTCTCACAACCCTATGGGTTTTCACGGCCTGGTACAGGGATAGCTTTACTTTTTTACTTTTACCATTTAGCATCAGTCAGTTAATGAATGAATTTGTAAATTATTCAATTTCTTATTTTTTAACTTTTGTGGGGTGGGGTGAGACTGAATCTACTTTGTATGTCAGCCACTAACTGGTCTATTGTACTGGCCTTGGACGATACACGAGTACAGAACTTCTGGCGGAATGAAAATTGGTAGAGGAAAATGAAATACGCAGAGAAAAGCTACCCCAGTGCCACTTTATTCAACACATATTTAACGCCCAGGCTGCTGTGGTGGGAAACAGTGACTAACCACTGAGCTTATTTCAGTTAATAAGAACACAGTCTGCTATGCAAAATGCAGATTAATTTATAGACACAATAATTAATAAACAAGATAACCTGACGTATAAGCAAGGAAAGAATACATGCCAAGAGTACAGTAATTCTAGTAACAGGCAACAGGCTGAGGCCTCAGAGTTTGATTCCTTATGGCAGGAATTGTCTTTTCACCATCATGTCCAGACCAAGTCTCGAGCCCACCTAACCTGTTAACTGGAAGGTGCAAGAACTTCTTCCCATAGGCAAAGCCACCAGAACATGAAGCTGATCACACATCTCCATTTAGCGTTAAGGTTAAGAATGTGTGAAGCTTTACTTCCAGTCCCACTATACACCTTCACCATATGGTATTTAGGCACAATGATAACTTGAAACTCATCATTTACATAGGAACAAAGTTAGTTCAGGCACTTGGGGAACAAAGATAGGGAGAGATGGGCAAAGTTGCTAGCACCAAAATTAAATATGGAACTGCAATGCAAGGAAACAGAAGCCATGCATAAATGGACATGCAATTGTGTACAAAATTGGAAGGCATATTTTACACTCTTCATTAATATGAAAAGGGCATTTCTAATGACCTTAATATCCAGTGCAGTGTAATACAAAATAATTTATTTTACTGCCTTTACATGTTCTGGCCCATATGGGTCATCTTCAGAAGGCATACATCAAGAGATAGTGATTCAAATTATGTACTTTAAAATTATAATATATAACAGTTCTGCTATATATTACTTACTATTAAGATCATTATTAATGCACGTGTAATGGTTAAGATGTCACATATCAAAATATGGTCATTCTTCTTAACCAACTGATTAGAGGAAATAATATATTCTTAAAGACTTATCCATAATTTGGGTCAATTAGAAACATTAAGTTTCAATCAACCTAATAGAATTATATCTTTATCAAAGAATAAGTGCATTGGAACAGGAATATATGCAGATTTAAAGAATTTATCTTTGATAGAACAATAGAATAGTCAAAAACACATCTCTGATTGCTCAAATTAATGTCTATGAAACAATGAAACTGAGAACCTTCCACATGAGTAAAACATAACATGACATAAGGTCGTGAATTCTGTAATGCGTAAATTGTATGTCTCTGTCTACATTAGTCATTAGTAGGTGCATTTGCAATTCTGTGAAATTCCTATTAAATACTCCATCCCCTCCATTTGCATGGATAAAACAACTAAGAACCACTCAGCAGATTTTTATGAAATCTGACATTGAGTTCTACTAAAATTTGTCTACACATTTCAACTTTGGTTAAAATCAGACAAAAAATAATGGGTACTTCACAAAGCCCTACATTCATTTTTGTGTGTATCCTGAGTAAATATAACCCTTAAATATTCTATAATCAATGATTCTTATGCTATGTGCACATTCCCTGATTTGTATATTCAATAATCAATGATTTTATGAATCACACGCAAAGATTACCAAAGTCACTTACTCCCAGTAATAATTAATTGAAGCTTCCTACCACCTGAATTTATAGGTCAATATGTATAAAAATGTCTAGCTAATTAATGTGAACTTTTATACAAAAGCATAAATACTTCTTTAAATAAAGACATAAAATATATAAGCTTATAGCAACAAATAAATGAGAATGAATATTAGCAAGTAACGTATAATTTCTTCTGCCAAACACACCTGTGAAGTGCACATTTATATATTTACAGTCTTATTTAGTGTTAATGTACAACAGGCTAGTGAATAAGGGAAAGAAAACAAACATAGATTCTAATATATTCATATCTCCATATTTTATTGTTTAGAAGGCAATAAGTTACCAAAAAGAAAGTATGTCTCTTCCTGATTTCATAGATCAAGAGGAGTTAAGTATAATAATGTCCAGTTTCAGTGTGGCTTACTATATCTCAGTGACTGTCAATACAATGATGAGACATAATTATCTGTATATACACATGAATTAATAATACATACTTTGTTGACATTTCATACAAACAAGACAATAAAATATTATAAAATAAATCTAAGAAAGAAGATACATAAGTATACTAGATTGAAATGGGCTCAAGACAGGGACCAAGAAGAGTTTTTGTGTACGTGATGATGAACGACTGTCAGGTTCTACCACATTACGTTATTTCTTGATCACTCAGATAACCATCAACTTCTCAAAGAAGGTTCTATCCTATGATATTGGTCAGATATATTGGAAGTGGGAGATATGAACATATTTCTTACTTAAAGTATTTTGTAAATACTTACCAGGCATACAGAAAATAGGCTGGGACTATTATGTGCAGAGACACGCTCAATAATAGAGTTCCATCATTATTATTTAGTCTCTTTCCATTTGTTCTTGTCCCTGAACTCAGATGAGAGCCAGCAGGAGGGCGGGGCTGAGAAGATGGAGAACAAAGGTGAGTGCATGCACAAAACAAATATTGTGCACTGCATCTATATGTTAGACAGGAGCCTGATATACCTGCTTAGGTGGGCCATTACAGACTAAAGATGCCTCAAGAACTGTCCAAAAATTACTATTATCATGAAAAATTAAAGAAACAGATACATAATTATTATTTGATATGCAAAAAAAAGACATATGAGGGGGCACAGCAAGATAATCTGTAACAAATATAGCATTAAGGTACATATACTTAATGCAAAGTATGTGCATACATTCTTTTGGATATCAGGGTTCAGGGCTGGTAAAACAGCACACATGAACCAAGTGGTCACCTGGGATTTCATGATTTACAAACCCTTTCCTGTTCTTTCTTTTGTTGTATATTACACGAAATTAATTCCTGCTTGTCTTTTGTTTCTATAAAGACTATCAACTGTCAGTAATCTAAGCAGATTCTGCAACACTGTAAATAAAACTTTTACCAGAATTAATTGTATGACACCAATATTGGTAATCATTACAGTGTCTTTAAATTTTGTGTTACTGTGATGAGGTCTTGAGAAAGTTGATCTATATTTAATAAGAGAACAAGGACTTCTCATCATATGGGGGAAATTTATGCACTAACCCTGATCATGTTCATAAGTAAAATTAATCTATAAATGGTTGGTACAGGAAATATAATAATGCAAAAATTTCCAGCATATATTTTATGAATTAGAACTAATTATGGATGATTATTATATTTAATTAATTTAAGAACACAGATAAATGCAAAATCAGGTTCATATGCAGAAGTAATTTCTGGACAGTTCCTTAACTTCCATCCCACAACCCAAGATTAAGATTCAGTTTCAGAATTAGCTCTGGAATTTGCACATTATAAATGCAGATACCATAATCATTATATGTAAACATTCTGTATTTTCAGAATATATTCTGACTCATTAATTACAATCAGCCAACCATTACATTACGATTTTGAAAATTCAGCAAATTTCTTGTCAAGATTTGAGCTCACTCTTAATTGAAATTGTTAGGTTCAGTTATGTTCTTCAAGAATAGATTCTGTTGCCTGGTAAAATCCTTCTTTAAATTATATTTTCCTTAATGCCTTTTGGGGACCCATCAAGTTTCCTGTCCACTGAATACCAAGGGCTTTTGGTTATGGAGGAACAGCCACATGAAGAAGCTGACAACTTCCATCTAGCTACTGCTGAAGTTATGAATGCATAGAACTATACCTCCATCTCACTACACATTTTAATAGCGTGGAGCCTACACTCAAAACAGTTTCATTGCCCTTGAAACTTAATGCATACTGAGGATGTTTAGCATTGTAAAACTATGACATTTAAAAATAAAATTGATTAAGAAGAAATTAAATATACTTGATTCTCCTTCACAAACACATACTTTTAAAAGAGACACAGTTCATTTATCTAGACCACTGAATGATCATTATTTGGTTTTCTCTTTTCAAAATATAATACAAATGTTTTCAGTCTCCAGATAAAGAAGTGATACACATTACACCCCACATCCATCTCCACTGCACAATGTGGCTGAATGGTGACAATTCTTACTTTGTATTCAGGAAGGTCTGGGTTCAAATCTCGGCCCAGCAGCCTGGGTCTTGACTGATATTTTTCTATCTTCCGTCAGTTCAGCAAGGTAAATGCTAGGATAGTACTTTAAAATAGGCCAGAATTATTTCCTTCCACATCCTTCTCAATTTAGTATTTACCATTTGACATTATATTATGTATGAGCTGAAAAAAATGTTGTTAAATACCCCCAAAATCAATCATCCCTATTCCAAGTCCTAGGACCTAAAAGTTGGTTTGCTCATCATGCATGAGTGTTTAATATATCTTCACTGTGCCTCGTCTCTGAAACTATTCTAACATCAAATCAAGGAAGTACTACTGCATCTAGGAGCCGGGACAGTGGACTCGGTATAGTGACTGGCTATGGGCTGGATGACCAAGGGGTCAGAGTTCGAGTCCTGGTAGGGTCAAGAATTTTCTCTTCGCCACATAGTCCAGACCGGCTCTGGGGCCCACCCAGCCTCCTATCCAACGGGTACTGGGGGCTGCTTTCCCAGGGGTAAAGAGGCAAGGGTGTGAAGATGACCACCCACCTCGCAACTAGTGCTGAGGTCAAGAAAATGTGGACCTAAGTGTCTGCCCCCTTACACCTTCATGGCATAGTACTTAATTAGTCAAGCACAGGGACAACTTTATCTTACTATTGCAGCTAATCCTTTCCAATCCATCATACACAGTCACCTTACAAGTTGGGGGGGGGGCGGGGGGTTGAAAAAGCATTGTATAAATACACCAAAACTGTAACTGACTGGACATCATAACATGCCATACTGAAGTTTCCTGATAAATCTTACTGCATACTAGAATAGGGTGACCAACTCTCCCGTATTAGAGCTAATTTTTTTTTATCCTCCCGGCTCCCGTATTGACATTTCTCCCGTATATTTCATTAACAAACAAGATCGCAAAATTTAAACTATATATTATTCCCGCCAAATACATTCCAATATAAACTGTCATTATCGACAGTTTAGACTTAGAGGAACTCATCGATAAATATCGAAAAATTACCTATAATAATCGATAGAAAGTTTAGCATATACTAATCGACAGCGGAATATCCACCCCTGCAGAAATGTGCTAGAGATGATTTTGTTAATTTCTACTGTTGCTTGCACAAGTACATTTCTAAGAATTTTGAGTTATCAAATGCAAATCCTGTCCATTGTCTTTTGCCATTAAATTTAAACACTGAACTTATCAAATTAAAAAAAAAAAAAAAACTGACTTTCTTTCAGACATTTTCAAACCATTGTAAAAGAATTTAATCTTGCTTTTGTAAATGAGGACAGCCTGTATGAAGAGTTTTCTAGTTCAAAAAGTGTTCTGAATGTGGTAAAAACAGGACGTATAGAACAAAGTTGGGTCAATGTTTTCAGTGATTTAAGAAACAAACAAATTGATGTGCCAAACCTTATTAAGATCTTAGGCTTTGTTTTAAGCATCCCAGGCTCAAATGCCCATACTGAAAGAATTTTTTCACTGATGAGCAATAAATTGACTGATCAGTGAAATCAAAGCAGTTTAGAACTAAGTCAAAGCTAATGGTAGCAATTAAATATGACTATAGTTGTAAAGAGTTTTTTGAATTCGCACAAGAAGATAAAAAAATGCTTAGTTCTGCAGCATCAGTGGACAAATACATATAGGTTAGGACTAAGAAACATGCAAATTTGTAAAATTTATTCTATATTGTGACCTGTATATTATATACAATGTAAATTAATTGTTTTGTTTAATATTATCCATTCCATGAACGTTTGCTGGAACGACGCCGCGCCGCTAAAAATGCGCAAAATTTGTCGTGACTAAATCTGCTGAAATTCATGACCGAAAGCTGGTCACCCTATACTAGAATAATAAAATTGAGTGACTTAAGGGCTGGGAGGTTTAATTTGTAGTCTACACTGTGCTATCAGGAAAGCCTAAGAGTATTAGGAAAGGCTGAAGATGTAAAGCCTAAACCAAATACAGAGTTAATTCCTAAATGTGGACAACAACCTATGCATCTCAAAGCACAGCAAGTACATAATAAAATTTACATCATCCATATCTGCTATGCAGTGAGTTTATGAAATTCCCTGGCTAATTCTTAAATCATTCCTTAATCACTGCTGTAAATATGTCAACATAAATTAAATAATGTTGCTGTAAAATAACCTATGGCTTTGCACTCATGTAGATCACCAGCTTATTTTATTCTCTTTTACCAAATGCACAACCTGCAGCTTAGTGCATACCTGCTTACTGCATAATCAAGTTTAGTGACATCAGTGAATGTTATGAAATATGTTTCCTTACACTGAAGACTCCACTACAGGTATTTGCTTCTGCTTCAAATGCTGTATCAAGCTTTCTTGGATAACAGCTTGCCTCACAATGCAGGATTAATCAAAATCTGTATATTCTATTATTCATTTTCTCCTCTGTCTCTCCATTTCTTTCGGTGTCCCAGAATTGTTGTCTTTTTGAATATATGGTTTTGATATTAGACATGTTCAAAAATTTTAATTGTAATATACTGCTATGTTCTCATTCTTCTCCATTGCATCATTATGGGTTTTAACACATGGAAGTTAAAATGGTAACATGTTTCAGCATATGTGTGCCATCATCAGACCATTAATCATATATAAATGTGAAAAAAATTGTACCATTAGCTAATGAAAGTGCTTTCTTATTTGGCACATTAATTAATCAGACTCCTAATATTCCTCTACAATACATCATATTACAATTATATTACAATAATATAGTACTGTATTGAATTAAAAATATATATCTTATAGGTACATCATTTGTCTTTCTTCAAAACTTTTTATATGATAAAACTACATAAAATTATGGCCACATATTCTAAATGAATTATTTTAAGAGATTTGGTTCCACCATGTTCTTGCTAATTTTATCAAATTAAATGTTATTTGTACTGTCTTTGCCTATCTATATTGTTACTGTTGGAATGGGATGTTGTACGCTCTTCTGACTAGCAGTGCGAACGTGGACTCACACAGATGTGTTGCCCAAATATACACTACCAGCCGAAAATACAATCGAACACATCAGCACAAAAAATACTAATAATATAGAAAATACAAAAAATCCATAGCACTTAACTCAACAGAAAACAAAGACAAAGTGACAGCACCAAATCTTCTAAAAGCATTAATTCAACATATGTGGATACAAGCTTACACAAATTTCTTACATAGAAACAATTAGTCCTAGTGATGAGAATATAAAGTTTATAGTTTTACAGTGACATTGTTAATCTAATATAATTGTCATATACTGCATTTTGTAGGAATTTTATCTGTCTGAGGAATTCATGTACAGAATAAGGACATATTTTCATTGGCTAATAGTATGTTTTCACATTTAGATGTGTTTAATGGTTTGATGATGACACACATACCAAACCTTGTTATCATCTTATATATTAAAACTCATGCTGATATAGACAGCAAAGAATAAATGTGATGAAGCCAACAAGATTATTAAGTGAATGTATTATATTTTAATATATTAAGCATGGCAGGGGACATTTACATTTACTGTGTTCTACTATATTAAGAGTGGTCAGGGCTTAAACCTATGTGTGAGCCAATGACGGCATGGGGTAAAATGCTTCTGATGGCTGTAAACTGAATATCAATATGTATTTTGATTTATCTGAACTTGTACTATTATATGTGAAAGTTCTGTGACTGTTGCATGGCATCTGCTGAAGAAAACATGACAACATCTATGATTATCTAAGATAGTGCAGATGGTCTTTGATTCTGGGAAAGTGCACTCACTTTAGTATCAAATACTGTCAGGCGAGTATTAATGCAGATACTGTTTTTTGATGAACTTCAGCTTGAGTATGGAGAAAGTAAAGTCCTCCAAAACACTGGCAATATGTCTACTCATATATAGTGTCTTACCTAGAAACAGGATCTACATCAGTGTTGCCAATAACAATGAACATGCTCTTGTAGTTGTAGTGACTGTATAGTAACTGTGGAACACAAATGTTCAAGACAACTAAACTTCAGACTGTCACAGCCAGATTCAAAGCTGCCAACATTGTCATGACAATTATTATACACCAGTGCAGTAGATATAGTGGTTGGCACCACTGTTTTGTATTTTGAACAGTCCTGGGTTCCAACCTCAGCCTGAAGATTGGGAGTCCTGGCTCATATTTCTCATAGGTTTCCTCAGGACTTGGGCAAGTTCAGCAGTAACACTTTAATGCAGCGTCTGAGCGACATTGTCTCTGAGACAGAATTGACAATTTCGTCCATGTCTCAGAGATACTTTGTAGTTTGTGCTCAGATTATGCTAGTATTTGTCTTGTCATCAAAGATGTCAGCCATATGTTCTTCTGTAGTCTTCTTTCACTAAAGAATGCATTTGACTTGTCGATATATTGTATACACCAAAGAAGGCATAAAAATAAGATATCACTGTAATGACAGAAATTTTCTGCCATTTAAAAGCAGATGAAAGAAGTTTTCAACAGATTAAAGTAGAACTTGACCAGTTACTTTCACATTCTTTCCAATTCATAACTGAAATCTTTATACGACTCTATGCTGTTTAACCATAATGACTGAAAATGTGTTCTTGAAATAATCACTTAGAATATAATGGAGACTTCTTTGGTTTTCCTCATTTTTATAGTTTCAGTATATATAATTCAGTTTGGTCCATAACATATCTTACAGTTCACCACAATTACTGCCTTCATCAGACAATTCCAAATTGGTAAGAATTTCACAAACATCTGAGTAGAAAATTTCCAGCATTTCCTTTTCATTCCATAACCATAACTGGTATACCGATATTAATGACTTACTTTATTTAATTTTTTTCATAACAGGAAAGCTGTAATCTAAAATTACATTTGCCACATAAATAAAGATGGCTACATATGAAACATATCCTAGTTAAAACAAAGCTGGAGAATGTATATTCCTATTTCACCTACTTTAATTTATATATACATATACATGCACACTATTCCACAGATTAAATAGACTGCTGTACGTTCTGCCAGTATGCAACGATATGTTATATTAGAACATTTTTCTCAAAGGACACAGAAATAAGAAGAAAAATCAGATAGAATGGAGATCGCAAAACGACAATGTTGCTAAAAATTAGGTCAGGTCCTTTGTGAACACCATGACTAACTTTCAGTGCCAGAGAACATCTTGGATAACTGAAAAACTACTATAATTTTAGGGTAGACTCTATACTATGTAAATTACCAACAGAACTGTATAATTGTTTCATAGTTTAATGATGTTTACATTTAATATAAATTTTATTTGGATTTCTGCAAGATTGTTGGTGCCTAACGTCAACATTACATTCAACATTCTCTTATTTAATACTTACAGGTATATTTATTCCTCAAAAAAATATATATATCCCCTAATCCTTACATTATCCTATTTATCTATTTTTATTTTCTGTGGCTCTCAAATGCTGAAACAGTACCTTAACATAGGTATTGGTTATGATTACTTTGCTCAAGACCCTTTCTGATTTATCAGTCAACAATCATATGAACATTTGATGTTAAAAATGTTATTAAATAAACATACAAATAAATTATTTTAACTTGTGTGTGGGAAAGAGCTGTCCTGCCAAAATTTACCCAATGGGTCACAACAGTGCCATCTCATTCATCAGTCCCCATACAGGAATTTTTTGGTATGGGCAATGCAAATTCTCCATTGGTACTAAAGGTGGATGGAACGTGAAGCTGACCACTAACCTCTGTTTAATATCAAGGGTGAGAATGTGTGGTGCTTTATTCCCATATCTATTATACACATCCATTGTGTTATGCTTCAGCATGAAAATATCTTGGTGATGTATATAATGGTCAGTTTCATGAATATAATAATATGCTGTTTCAATTATGAGATGAAATTTCAAGTGCATGTTACATAAAATATCAAAGATAAGGTGGAATTACTGTGCTGCTTTTGTAAAATATGTTACTATTACTGATACTGCTGAATCAAGACAACATAATGAAAGCATCTTTAATTCTCTATGTTCCTCCTAACAAACTAAATAACCTTCATACTTACTTAAGTATGAGCTTTATAACTGGTGGTGTCTTGTTTCCCAGTAATGCAGGAGACTGTCACAACCCTCACAGAACTTCTGCCAAATCTCGACGATGACTCGTCACTAGAAAGACACGACGAATCTGAAGGTTAGTCGAAGTAGAGGTAGACAGCTTGAATGTTTCTCCTACTCTGTACATAACTTGATGCAATCAATTCACTATCTTATGAATAGTTACGACTTACTCTTTCACTACCAAGTCCAAGCATACTTGCCACTGAATGCTGAAGAGCAAGCACTTCTACTTAAAGCTCTGGTGGCCCAAGTTTCTATTCTTGTCCTGCAGACCAGCTGCTCCAGCCATTATTTTTCATGATTTCCCTCATTCCCTCCAAGATAATTTTTAGACAGTACCTTAAAAGAGACCATGACTGCCTCTGTTCACATCCTCTCCAATTCAACATCCACAGTCATCCACTCACTTGACATTAAATAACCTACACAGTTAAGGAGACACTGTTAAATAAACTAAGAAGGTAACAATATACTTGTTGGAGGAACCATAATCTATTTTAACAGGAATATATGTATGTCTATCATAAGACTTTCAATTGAATGAATAAGCCGAGGATAGTTATTATATCTGAGTATGTATCAATGCTTCCATGGTTATAACAAAGACAGGAATTTCAGCATTCACCCCATTACACAATCATGGAATCTGTATTTCATTAAACAGACTTATACATATGTTAGGTTCTTAACTTTAAAACTCATATAACATCTGACATACCTATATACCTCCTCTAATTGTTTGTAAAACTTCTAAGGAAAATAAAAAAAAAGTATTAACACACATTGTATATTCAACAGAACAATTCTATCTATAACAGAGAAAGATCAGCTCTTAGTTTCTGTTCTTAGAATCATTCAGTATAGTCAGGAATGATACTTCATGAGGTATGAAGTTTTCAAGGCAGTGAAAATTTTTGTAGCCCTGTACTGATGACATAGTATCATGTCCCAGAAGACCAGTCTTAAGGAAAGATACTAGTCCCTAATCCTCTGGGGAGAAAGACATATCTCAAATGCTTAATTTTCTTACAGGAAATGACTGTCATTCAGACAGAAAAGCAGTTTTGGAAGAACAGAAAATCAACTACAGTGAATTCTATGTACCAGAATGTACACCAGATGGACGATACCAAACCATACAATGCTACAAATCTACAGGTAACTTGAGTGTCTGAAGCCTGTTGCTGTTCTACCTGATAATGACAAGATGTTCCAAGAAGCTGACTGCTGCATCTGGTCTTTGGCTTGGATTCTGGCCCCATTCCAGCCTTCATTTTCCTTTCAGCATGTCCTGAATATCCCTACATTTTCTTGAGTTTACTTCCCTGTTGTCATACCTGACAAATCATTATAGCATATCTTTCACTTGCTGTCCCACACACACCTCCAAATCATCTATCCTAACTGAAGGTAATCAAAACTGATTTCATGTACTGAGATTTTAATACAATCATAGATATTAAAATGTTTCCAGAAAATACTTGTAAATTTCAGGTAAGTGTTGATATGTTTCTAGAAAGAAAAGTGCCAATATTAATATAGGTATGGATGGGGCTAACACTTTGTAAGTTTGTAACAAAAATTTGAGAGATGTAAACTTGAACTCTGTGAACTTGATTCATTTGGCTCAGGATAGGGTTTGGGGTTGGCTCCTGTGAACATGATACTGAACCCTCAGGTTCTATAAAAGGTGGGAATTTCTTGACTGATTTAACTTCTCGATATGAATTCTGCTCCATGGTGTTACTGGTCATGTGCTATTACACAATACCAGAAAGAAGCTCTGTGCTAAAGTATAGTGTAAGATAGCCCCTCACAACTGAGCCCTGCCTTCATAGCATAACCACAAAAAAAAATCTGCTACAAAGAACTGCATTAACACAACCCTTCTACAACTCATAATCTCCTTTCCCATTAAATTCACTAATTAAAATGATTCTGATGGGTATTAGGCAGAGTATCCTAACATTGTGGGTAGTACATCTGCTTTATATTCTTGAAGTACCCAGTTCAAATACCTGCTGAGGTACAAGCTATGTCTGTACTTATAGCCAATGCAGTGGACAAACCAAGTAACTGATTACTCTTAAAGGTAAAGTTGTCCCTGCTCTTAATTATGCACCATTTGATGAAGATGAATGGGGTAGTGGAAGTATACCTCATGTACTCTTAACCTCAATAACATATGGTGGTAAGTGGTCAGCTTTGGGCCCTAGCCCCTTTATCCCATGGGGAAAGAGCCCTTAGTACTTAACACAAATCTAGCACACCTAATCCTGCTGCTGTACAGGTTACTGTTGGTGTGTGCATGAGGACAGTGGGAAGCCCATACCAGGGACGTCTGTGAAGGATCAGGTGCCGAAGTGTGATGCCATATCCACACCCCTGCGTCCTATGAGCGGTAGGAATTGTGAATAAAACTGTTCTTGCCTCAGTTCATTTACAGAATTAATTTAGCTCACATAGTTTTTCAAATTTTATCGAATAGTCATTGTAGACTGAAATAATGTTATGTACTGGAATTTCATATTTGAAGCGAGAGAAGACTGTTATAGGAGTGATTTAAATCTTCATATAGTTTATTAGGGTAGTTATGTATGGGATGTTACAATGTGCTGGGCACGTAGTTTGAATTGGGAACCAAGAAATGCACATGGGATTTTGGTGAGAAAAGGTTTTACAAAATGGCCTGTTGTAACACTAAGAAGGGAGAATAACAATTTGATGGGGCTTATGAAAGTAGACTGTGGGAATGGATTGTGGAAGGAATGTCTCGGTATCATATCCAGTGGTGATGTCTGGTGTCAGCAGTGCTGAACTTCTGCTATCACACATAGTTTAATTTTACTGTGTTTATGTTGCTCTTTTCAAATAATTTTATTGCATTTGAAGGGTTCTATCTTCTGGGATATAATGCCATGTAGTCCATTGAAAGTCAACTAATATGTTCCTCTGAAACATCGGTTGATGTTTCACAACCACCACTGCGAAAACCTCAAATGCTATAGTTACTGTATTCTTCACATAATTTAAACCCAGGCATATTTTTTGTATTATCTGATAGCAGAGGTGAAGTACTGTGTTAATAGGTGGCAGACCATTAAAGGTAACTAAAAACTAAATGCCATTTGTAGTCTTGTTTTATCTTGTTACTATAGTTGCAAATTCAATACATATTGCATAACCCTTTTTGCATATGAACTTAATGATTAATTTCAGTGGCCCCAAATTAATTGTGTGTGTTCAATTTACATCCATTTATGGCTGTCCACTATTCAAATCCACTGCTGCTCCCCCCAAAAATTTCAAATGGAAACTTCATTCTAAATGGCATCAAAAACAGTTAAATTTGCTACTGAAGTAAAAATTGAGTAGATTTCAATGTGATCATAGTGCATGAACATATAAGCATGGCAGCTGGTACCTTGCAGGTTGTCCTGATCCTCGTAAACAAGCTTTCCTAAAAGAGTTAATGGAGTTGATGAAGAAGAAGATGGAAGCCTCAACAGATCAGACAAGCACAGAGAGGTAACTTCAGGCTTCTTCAAAGTTTACAAAAATACTACATGCATGTGAACTGCTACCATCACTCATGTAAGCATTCAGGCTTATAATGTGGTCCTCATGCTTGTGGCAACATATAGGGTTGTGAGTAGAAACCAGTGTCTTGAGGAACAGGGATGAAATTATGTGGTGAGTCTGTGGTCATGTTTTATACAAAGTTGCAAGGAAAGTGGTCCACAAGCCTCACAGGAGGCTGGGATTCATCTCCCCTCCCATTATCTGTATATCTAGTGACCACATTTCTCACAACCCACCTATAGAACCTGAATGCAACCTCACCATACCCATTTTACCCCAGAAGATGGAGGCCATGTTCCTCTGAAACATTTTTACTCACCTACAATACTACAGTGACAGTCATAATGCAGAACACTGCTTGTTACCATCACAACAACTTTCTATGCACTAAGATTAAAAAAACACGCAAATCTGAAAAACGATAGTTCGGACAGTTGATCTGAATGATTATGAAATTCAGCCTACTATTTTGAGGAAATGTAATAAATAAAAGATGTCTGAAAACTAAGTTCTCAGAAAAATACTGAGGTGACATAATTAAACTGTTTAGAATATTACATAAGCAGGAAGTCCATGACATACAGGTCACCTAATTTATTGTTAGTGTGGTTAAACAAAGACTCCTACAATGAGACTTCAAGCCTGGCAGCAGAACCCAATGATTAAAGGTACAAGCAAAAAAACTGATAAACTCTGGGCAATGTTTGGCGATTTTATTACCATACTATTTCCAGCAATGCTGATGGAAATCTACTGCAATGGCAATTAATTTCCATTGTGTTGTCAGCAATATGGAGAAACTTCAAAGCACATGACAATCTTTATTTAGACTGTGGTAGATTGCTGATGATGACAATTGTGAAACATCCCTTTCGAATATGAAGTTTTATTTTTAAAGTCTGTCATCAATTTGTTTCTCTCAGCTACTGCTTATGTAGTCATATACTCAATTATTATAGGCAGAAGATGCAGGAACTGAAAGAGGATAGGGCCAAGACCACAGATTGAGACATGTCATGCAAATTTAACTTTGTTCAGTGAATTTATGAGACTGTTAGTTAGTCAGTTATTGGAGAGGGTGGATTTCCCCATGCACTGAGACCTGTATTGGTCCATTGTGCTTCCCTCTATGATTTCTACCAGTCTCTATATCCTACCGGAACTGGTGCTTACCATCAGTCCTGCCCAGCCGGCAAGACCGGCTCTACTAGCTGAGAGGTATCTATAATGTTTCCCCCATCTACCAGAGGTATTAGAGACTGCTGTTGGGTGGGAAACGTCCGTTAATTTAGCTCAGTGACCTCCTTAGGAGATATGACGTTCTTTTACGTGCCGTAAAGCTATGACACGGGACCCACGGCTTAAAGTCCCTCCTGGAGGACTTCCTCCCTGATTTTTTCCACCCTTAAAAAATTCGACGACCTCCGCCGGGTATTTGAACCCGCGTACTACGAGTCATGAGGTGGGGACGTTACCTCCAGACTACGGAGGCCGCTTTATGAGACTGTTAAAAAGTGAGTGAATAAAATTAGATTGAATGTTCAGATAATGTATCATAAGATGGGAAAAGTAACCCACATCTACACAGATACTTACTTGTACATTACGACTTTTGGCTACTGGGGATTTATATAGTCTCCGAATCTGTTCATCTCTCCTGACATCAGAAATTCTCAGAGAATTAACTGAGGAATTGAAAGACTACACAAAAGCACACAAAAGATAAACCTTTTTATTTTTAAATTGAGACAATATGTGAAAATAATGAAAACTAACTTTATTTACTGCTTGATCAACTACACAGTTTTGTTACATTTATCACAAGAATTCCAGTATTGTTTCATATATTTCTCTGTCTTTCCTTGAATCTGAATGTGTCTGTGGGATGTGATGAGAAGGCATGGGATTAGAATGAAGGGACAAATTTGATAGCGAAAGAAAGAAACATCTGATAACAGTCAATGAATATGATCCTGACAATCATGCAGTGGAGGGACTGCTTGTGTCCACTCTCTTTTACAATCTCTGACATTCCCATTCATAATAGAAATTTCACGTGGAGGTATGCAGATATTCATAGTCTATTTCCATTTTTTAATCTAGTTATTAATTTCTTTTTCACTTTTTATGTGTTCTCAGCCCTTTCAGCTTACATGTGGCTACATGTTGAAAAAACTGATGTCACTTGCAATTCAAATCTATGTACCGTATTCTCCTGAGTCATGACGCCATGATACAGTGGAACCTCGCTTAATGAGCATAATTCGTTCCAGAATCTTACTCATAATGCGAAACAATTTTTCCCATATAAATTAATGTAAAATATGATGTGTTCCATGCTGAAAAAAAATACTAAACAAATTTTATGTATAACGTTTATTCAAAGAAAATTATATATACATTGTTAATGAGTGTGAATCATCTTCATCTTTTCTTCTGTGTGGAATGAATCAACCTGGAATGCGAATTTGATTTGCAGAAACACACACACAAAAAATGTAATAACTAATTTATTATTTATGATACATATCTAATTCTTTTTTACTAGAAAGCTGTCTAGTGACATTTGTTTTTGCCGACGCTTCAAAATTTGGTGAAAATGTGACACAGCATTATCATTAAATAAATTTGTAGTGCGCATAGGCACTGCCTTATTAGGGTGATGCTTCTCAATGTACGATGCAACAGTTTCCCATGCTTTCAGCATTTCTCTAATTGTGCCAGAAGATTGTTGCTTTGCTGTTACCTCCTCCTCCTCCTCCTCCTCCTCTGACAAACTCTCCTCCACAACTTCTTGCTGTGAAACACAATGCAACTCCATAAGCTCTTCGGTGGTCAGCTCTTGGCTGTGCTCTTCCACAAGCTCATCGATATCATTGTTATCCACCTCCAGCCCCATGATCTTGGCCAAAGACACAATCTCGTTGA